CCACTCCACTCCACACTTCGCACTTCACTCTCTCCACTCCACTCTTACTCTCTCCACCATCACTCTCTCCATCCACTCACCACTCTCTCCACTCTCCACTCTCCTCTCCACTCTCCTCCACTCTCCACTCTCTCCACTCCCACTCCCACTCTCCACTCTCCACTCGCCACTCTCCACTCACTCTCACTCTCCACTCTCCACTCTCCACTCTCCACTCTCTCCACTCTCCACTCGCCACTCTCCACTCTCCACTCTCCACTCTCCACTCTCCACTCTCCACTCTCCACTCTCCACTCTCCACTCTCCACTCTCCACTCTCCACTCTCCACTCTCCACTCTCCACTCTCCACTCTCCACTCTCCACTCTCCACTCTCCACTCTCCACTCTCCACTCCCTCACTCCACTCCACTCCACTCCACTCCACTCCACTCCACTCCACTCCACTCCACTCCACTCCACTCCACTCCACACCACTCCACTCCACTCCACTCCACTCCACTCCACTCCACTCCACTCCACTCCACTCCACTCCACTCCACTCCACTCCACTCCACTCCACTCCACTCCACTCCACTCCACTCCACTCCACTCCACTCCACTCCACTCCACTCCACTCCACTCCACTCCACTCCACTCCACTCCACTCCACTCCACTCCACTCCACTCCACTCCACTCCACTCCACTCCACTCCACTCCACTCCACTCCACTCCACTCCACTCCACTCCACTCCACTCCACTCCACTCCACTCCACTCCACTCCACTCCACTCCACTCCACTCCACTCCACTCCACTCCACTCCACTCCACTCCCTCACTCCCTTCCTTCTCTCCCTCCCTCCCTGCCTCCCTCACTCCCTCACTCCCTCCCTCCCTCCCTCACTCCCTCACTCCCTCACTCCCTCACTCCCTCACTCCCTCACTCCCTCCCTCACTCACGCAGTCAGTCAGTCAGTCAGTCACTCACTCACTCACTCGCTCGCTCACTCACTCACTCACTCACTCACTCACTCACTCATTTACTCAATGAGCCAATCACTCTCACTCACTCTCGCTCAGTCACTCTCCAAATCACTCACTCAATCGCTCACTTTAGACTGGGCAGTGCGTAGTGGTCGACTGTTCCTGAAGCTCGATTTCGTGGCAGGCGCAGTACTTCAGATTGGTAGTCCCACATCGCTCGGCTGGGGACGGCGGCTTGTTTTCGTGAGGGTCGGTTGAAGTTCGATTTTGCGGCAGCGGCGGCGCCTTAGATAACTGTTGCTTGTGCTTTTCAATTTCCGCCCGCTTTTCTATTGGTAGTCATGACTCGGAGTCCCCAGCATCGCCAGGGGTGCCTAGCGGGATGCTCGAAACAACGCGTGTACGAAAATAACCAACATGATGAGGATGATGATTGCTGACAATCATCACAACGCATCCTCTGCATCACCAGCCAGGCTGCACGGTGGTAAACATCAAGATGATGACAGAAACAACTCACGTGCGTGATGAATCAACCTGGTTGATCAATCTAGCAAAGGAAGATGAAATATGCAAAGGAAAATCAAATTGGTATCCCAAGCGAAGAAATCTTTAGGCTATGTCCTTTTTTCTGTCCAGTACAATATTACCCTTCCCTTTTCTCCTTGCTTCGGTATGCTCCTCTTTGCTCGCCTTTTCTGCTACGCCAGCCCCCAGCGGTATATTAATCACCAAACACACTGGCGTCGACCTCAAAGCTTTGCCACCCAATCACCCGGCGCCTTGCGCAGGACTCCAGGGGCTTGAACTTTCCATGGAAACGCTTGGAACCAAAAACACAACTGCCTAACTCACCTAACTTACCTAACCTCCCGACAGCTGAGCTTGGACCAAACGGGGTCAGCCATCTTATTTTCTCCAGCGCGACAGCACGAAAACCGTTTACTTCATGGCCAGGGCAAAGCCTTTCTCGAGGTTGTCTTTTGCCCGAAGCCTCCAATGCATGAAACGCACCTACGGTGAGCCTGTGCATGTGCCTCTTAAATTACAATGAATTGGGCTCTGTCCATGCCTGCCGGTCTCGGCAAATTCTGGCACGCTCATGCAGACTCGCCAAGCTGCCCGGCCATTTGGTGAACTTCTCCACAGAACTGTTCAAAGGGCGCTGGACGAACCGTTCGGTCAGCCTCTGCTTTCAAGGCCGTCCTTTTGTTCTTGCTATTTTTCGCCGGTGAAACGCCTAACTTTACGGCCCTGCCTTTGGGGCGGAGCAACATTCACATGCAGCTGAGGCGGGTCGCGAAAAGAGGCAGAGGAGCACTGGCTTGGAGGTCCATGTACTTCTCGTGCCAAACCGCGAGGAGGAAGTCCCCGTCGAAGGCGAGCACCTAAGACTCGCTTGGCAACACCTTAGCTGTTTGCCCTTTAGTTCTGAATAGGGTTGGCAAACCTGCCACTTCAAAATCAGGCATGCCGGCTGTGCCTGCTCAGTTGGAGGGTCGTCAACTGCTAAAGCTCCCGGAGGAGTTGTGCGAGACATCAACCTGCAACGAACTTTTTGCTGTCTGGAAGGCACAAAAGATCTCAAAATCTCCCGGTCCTCGCACCAAAGATCTCTCTTGCACCCGCGACGTCAAAGGCCTGAAGTTTTCTCATTGCAACGGACTGGAGCTGAGTGCGCTGAGTGCTCTGAGCTGGGCGCCGCTTCTGCCGACCCGGCTGCCAAAGACTGGCAGAGTCTTGTGAATGCCGTCGAGATTGCAAGCTTAGCTCGCCTCTCCCACGCGAACATGCATCTCGGAGGATGCGACGCAGTGGTGCAGCAGCCTGCTTGGCCCAAGGGGCCCAAGGCTCACGTGACTCGTGCCCCACCTTGGGAGTCGAACCTGGGACACAGCCCTATCATCGAAGGCAACGGGTGGTGCCTGGCAGCATGACAGCATGATTGGACGGGACGCTGCACGACACCCCTGCCTCTTTGAGCAAACGGCATGCCATCTCATACCTGCGATGCACTCTGACACAGCACCATCGTCTGTTTGCTATCCTACACCTCCAATGACATATTGAAATTTGGACATCACAACACGGGTCACAGGCAGTACTGCTTGCCGGAAGGTAGTTGGCAAACCATCACGGAGATTTCATCATCCTGGCTCTCATTTGCTCTTCCAGCATCACGGTCAATTGCAGGCCTCCGTGGCCAGGTAGGCCACGGGCTTCCTGGCAGAAATTTGAGATGGCGACATGCGCTTCACAATATGAGGCGCAGGCTGTCCAGCGAGCTCCTGGCCATTGTCAGGCAACCGATTCAGACTTCAAATGACACGCGCCTGGTGCTGTGCCGTAGCTTGGACTGTGACAAGGCTGAAGTTCTGCGATGGGTCGCTACGCTGTGCCTTGCAAGCTGCGCACAAGCAAATCAGCATCCCAAACCATGCCGAACCCGTAGATCCCGTAGATCCCGTAGATCCGTAGATCCCGAAGGCACATTTGGTCGTTTCCAAACTTCCAATGTCCGTCTCCGCCTTCCAGTTCACAGCGATTGTCAGCCCGCCACAGAGCGCATCGCGGTCACTTTCTCCCTCCTAGCCCCGCTTGGCATTGGATTGGAATTCCAAATGGCTTGGCGATAGGCCCTTGTCTCCCTAAACACTCGGTTCAAATGAAGAAAACCCGAGAAAATCTCACACTTCTCCTGAGACTCCCTGCGGCTAAACCAGGCCTGGGCGGCACGGCGGCGGACAAATGAAGTCGAAACTGAACTGGGTGCCCAAACGAGGAGCTCCTTGGGCAGCTCTATCTCCTGCTGTGAAACCGCTCGATCGCTGAGCAGATCGCAAGCGTCCTTGAAGCATTCTGCAGCAAAGTCCTCCACACAGAGACTTTGGCAAAACGAAAAAGAATATGTCAATGTATTGCAAGATATTCCTGCCAGGCGTTGACCTCACCGGATTGGCTGGTTCGCACCAGCGGAAGGCCTTTGCCCTTGGCTCGTGCTTGCCGGGCTTGAATGCTAGCATGCCGAGCATTGCAAATCAAAGCATCTCGTGCCTCCTTCATCGAGCTCAAGGGAGAGGCCTGGGAACACACGGCAGTGAAAATTGGAAATTGAAAAAACCGCAAAAAAAAACGCAATATCCGCAATATCGTGATATATCGGTAGCCATATCGTGAATCGTGACACGCTGAGGCTCGGCATCTGGCAACACCTGGTCGAAGCGGTAACGGTCGGATGTCGCAAATGTCGCAACGGCAGCCTGGAGGCATCCCTCACAATGCCGCCTGAGGCATTCGGCCAAGACCTCAAAGCAGTCTCGAAGTCTCAGAGCAGTGGGGTCTGTCTGATGTCTGAGCCATGAACGGCAGCATTGCCTGAGCCCTGCAATTGGCAATGCCAAATCCAAACAAAATGACTCATCAACAGCTACGTCCTGTCTTCGAACTTCTTCTACGACTTGGACCTGCCAGGAAATGCCGAAGACAGCAGACCTGCCTTCTTGCCCTGTCTTTCCGAACGCAGCCCTGAGCACGGCATGCAGGGCGCACGAATAATTACGCAGGCCTGGTGACGATTTGGCATGAGCAGGCAGCTGCTGAGGCACAGGTCCGGGATGTCCGGGGCCGGTCGCGCGTCACGCTCCTGAAACATCAGGTATGTCACGCTATGTCACGCTATGTCGGTGTTCGAGTGATCGAACCGACGCACCTGGCTGCGCTTCTGGCACATGATCTGGCCGCGCTTGCCATCAGAGTTGTTCGCGAGCTGAAACCAGCGGTAGCCGGCCTCACGCGATCCCCGTCGCTGCATCCCTCTGTATCCCCGGCGCCTGCTTGAACGGTTTCTCAGCATCCTTGTCCAGCACCATTTTGCCGTCCTTTCGAGCAAAGTTGAAAAAGTCGGCATTTAAATTGAGCCGGAAACTGGTTGCAAGTACTCCTTTGGTGTGTACCAAAGGGTGATGCGGATCGTGCCTGGCCACAAATATTGATTCTCGGGACTGCATCCCAAATCTCTGAGAGTCATCAGGCTCTCGCTGATGGGCATATTGAAGAGGTGGAGCCGCAGCGTCTCCAAGGCACCTGCAACGAACTGCCCCAACTCCGCAGCTTGCCACAGTAGAATGCAGCTCCAAAAAGTGCTCCTCCAAAACTGTACGGTCTTGCTTTCTGAGTGAGGGTAATTGGCGTTTGGTGGGTTAAAGTTCTGGACTTGATTGATGGTCAACATCCTGCGCGGCACTCTCCTTGCAGCGCTTTTGCCCGCTAGCCACAGCACCACGGGCACCACGCCAAAGCTTTCCACCAACGGGGGTAGAGCTGCCGAATGCGGTGGCGCACGCTGGGGCTGCATGGAAGATGCTGAGAGAGGGCTGCTTCCTCCGAGACACACATCGAGCAGTCAGGCAAGCAGAACCCTCAGATGGAAGTCATTTTCCAAAGGCCCGAAATGAAGCCATCAATAGGGTCATCGATGCACGGCTCTGACAGAGAAGAAAAGGATAACAACTCGGCCACGGCGCATACTCCAAACGACTTTGGCGGCTGGCCGGGAGCTTGAACTCGAGCCAAGACGCGAAGCTGTCAATGTCCGTGACAAAGCGCGCCAGGTCAAAGGCAAGCTGCCTCAGGCCGGGCCGCCCCACGGGCCACAGCAACACGATGCCCAACGCCAACGTTTGAAAGGCATGGACTCAGCTCCCAACTGTCGCGAGCTCTGCAGCATGGGTATGGCCAGTGCTGCGGCTGGGAGGGGCTTCCTGGGAACTTCCGCACTCCATCTTCTACCTACAATGTATACATGTGTGCCAAACGTCTTCTGGGAGGCGCGCACTCGGGACCAAACAGCCAGCACTGCCTGTTCGCAACATTCGCATTCGTGACACCGAACGCACGTGACATTCGTGACACTTGCATCGCCTGCCGACAGACCTGGTCTCCCTCGATGGCTGCCAGGATCCCAGGATCCATGGCGCTCAGCTTCTTGGCCTTCAAATGGCTCAAATCGCACCTGCCCAGGCCCCTGTCTGAGTCGCTCACGGAGGCGATGCAGCGCTTAACATCTGACCTCACATCAGAGATTCGTTCCAAAGCACCGAAGCACCGAAGCACCAGCTCCAGTTGTTTCAAACAATGGCAACTTGTTTGCACAGAAGCATTGGCTTTTGATGCTGTCTGACCGCTTTGGATGCCGCCAAGGCAACACTGCGAGGTCCTGCAACAGCACCGCCAATGGCCCGGTGGCGCGGCGCTCAAAGTGCTTCACAGACCTCACTGGGCTCTGAAGACTTCCCTCACCGGCACATGGCACGCCCATGCGGATCCGAGCTGCAGCAGCCGAAACTGCCCTGCAATGTCTGCACTCCAGCCAACTCCAAAGCGCACCGGCCAAGCATGTGATGGCACTTTCCTGAGGCATTTGACGTGGTCTCTCTCTCTCTCTCTCTATTTCTTTGTCTGGCTTTCTGTCTCGCATCAGTGCACTGGGCCTCTTGCCACTCGAAGAGCTGCAAGCACCCAGCCTGAGTGCTAAATACCGAGTTACGCGCGTCTAAGTGCGTTTTGACAGCCGTGATGATGCCTCCTCCGAGTTTTCTGTTCTTCCGCATTGCATTGAAGACTGTGCCACAAGACCCAGTGGCCCGCCTTGCTAAAGCCAAGCCGACTCTTGTCGGTGTCCAAGATGAGCCCCACCGTGCCCTGCCATGTCAACATGGCACTGAGATAGTTTTGGTCTCTGCGCCATCTCTCGCATCTCTCGGTCCTCGACCCAGGTGGGCAGGACACCCTCCTCCACCGCAGCATCTCCGCCAATCCAGCCAGCGGCTCCCGAAGGCGGCAGCCCGCCTCAAACGGCTTCCCAATTCCAGAGAAAGCCGCTACGGCGTTGCATCTTGCCGTCTTGCCGACTTGCCTGCGTCTTTGGCCACGTACACGTCACCATCCCCAGCTTCCCACCAAATTCCGGACAGGCATCTTTGAGACCTTGGCACGAGCCCGTCAAGGTGCGGCGCCAACATTCTCTCCAACTCAGCGCCTTCGCCCTAAACACAAGCTGAAACAAAGCTAAAGCATCAGATCGCAAGAGAGCTATTGCCACAGGGAAGCAGATCTGAGGCATCAAGGACAAGCCCAAGATCTGCTCTGCAGAAGCCATCCAGCATCACCGATGTTGAGAGGGACCTCACAGCTTTGCCGTGCTTTTTTTGACAAACGGTCCGAGATGGCAAATTGACCTCCGGACCGCCTTGAACCAGAAGCATGTCGTTTGTGCTCGGTTCTTGCATCAAACGCGAAGAAAGACCTTGCGGTGCAAACAAATGCAAGTAGCATCCAAGGCACAACTCTACTGTCCAGACTCCTGGCGTGCTTCTTTACTCAAAGCACCCTTGTACACATAACCTGGAGCGAACTATGAACAAATTGCCATGAGCTCCACATCTTGTAAGTCAACCTGTGATTCATGTCCCCAACTCAGATCCTAGCCATCAGTGTCCTGAGTCTCTGTCGATGCTGGGCCCACACGTTGCGATTCCGGCATCTCCTAGGTGCGCGAGGTGCGAGGCGCACAGATCCCCCTGATGTCATTTGAGTCGGGAACCCTTCATCCAAGACACCGCTGTTGTAGAGGAACATCCCGGAGCGCAGGCGCTGCCCAAATTGCAGGACTTGGCCGCCTTGCTTCACCACGGACATGGCGTGCCAGGAGGAGAACCCTGACATCAGCGGCTCCAGGATGAAGCGACCCACATGCCTCAAGTGTCTCAACCTTTAAAGTTCTTAAAATGGCTTTTTGTGGCCTGTTTTCTTGTTGTCCCAGTTGTCCAATCCCATCCCGTCCTGAAGATTGGCCGAGGGAGCGCTCCCCAAGCGCTCAAACTGCGGGGGTGCGTTGCCCCCAGAAGGGCATGCATCTCTGCCTTGGGAAGTCTGCGAGTTTGGCGATTCCAAGCAACATGAAGCAAAGCCACGAAAGCAGATTGATTGCGAGTATACCACGGGTGTGAATTGGCCTACAGTTGCCACCACACAAACAACTAATGCAGCTCGAGGCCCTAGCCCAAAGCCTTTGATTGCTTTTCCTGGAGCCTCCCTGAAGGTCCAGCCCGGAACCCTGTCGCTGGTCAGCAACCCTACCGCTCCATGGAACTTTCGGACTCTTTCGGCTGAAACGCGGAACCCTTTTTAGCCATTGCTCTAAAATGGAACCTTCCGGAAGCCTTCAAAACCCTCCCCAACCGCTCCCGACCTCCCTCAAACACTTGGAACTTCGGAGCTGCTCCCTGCCACTGCAGAGCTTGGCTTCCAGCTGCTGGGGAAAACACACATGAGCGGCAAAACCTAAGACTACTTTGGGCGATTTCGATTGGGAAGATGTCGTTTTTGGGGTTTCACTATGTCGTTTCTGGAGGTTTCTGACACTTGTCTCTTGGGGTTTCGCGAAATCACCGATCACAAATTTCTGGCTCTCTCTCGACATGTGTTAGTCCTTGCCCAGGGCCAGCATGCTCAGAGCAGGGCTGTCGTCTGCTGCGAGAACTGCTGTCTTCTCCTCAGCGCTGGTATCTAGGCAAGCCGCTTTGGTCAAAGAGATCCCCCATTTGGCCAAGTGACAGCATGGCTCCGCGGTGCCATGCAGTCCAAGGCAGGCGAGGCACTGGGCGCAGGCCCAGAAGGCACGCTCTGATGGACCCTTCATGGAGCTTCGAACTGAGAGATTCTCAGAGATCAATAGAAGGCTCAGAGATCATCGCGTGCGTCAATGCCGATTTCTCCGAGGCCGTGCGAGCCTTGAGGCCTCTATGTCAGCCATAGCTTGAGCAGCGCCAGGTATGCATGGCGCTTTGTTGCTACCAAGGGTTGTGCCGTGATCACCCGAATTTCCTCCGACTGGCCTGAATAGACTGAATAGACTGAATAGACTGATTAGACCATAGGCCCTTTAAAACTCGAGGACCTAGGTCTAACGCAAGCAAAGGACAGACTCGAGACGCCTGGCACGAGGCAGTGCCACGGCTGGCCCACCTTCCGCTGGCGCGCGCGTCGCTCGCGTCGCTGGCGTCGCTGGCTTGCTTCAATGTCTCTGCCTCCACAAAGCTCAAGTGGCTGACGACGCAGTGGCCTCGGCTCTTTGGCTTTGCGCGCTCGCTTCAAGGTCGCCGGGAATCAGGGAATGAAATCGCTGTTTGGCCATGTCCCAAACATGCCGAATTGAGGATTTCAGTAAGTGGCAACGTTTGAGCCACAAGCCTCTCCGCATTTCCCCGTGTCAACTCTAGGAGCATAGATGAGTTTCATTGCGTTTTGGTGCTACACTTGCACTTGCAGACAGTGAGGCCTGACTCAGTCCCAAGCTGAGACTTTGAAGGCTTGCCACAACAAGCAACAGCAAACCAAATGACAGCCTCTTGGGCTGCCAATCATTTGAGACTCTCAAACGCTCTCGGAAAGAAATCACTCTCATGCCACAACCAGGTTTACACCAAGGCGGACCTGCTGTCTTGCTTGACAAGCCGGCATAATGGAGGTAGCGCTTTGATAGCCTTTTCCAGTAGCATTGAGCATAGGCAATCAAAGAGTTCAATGCATGTGACGTGACTGAACATTGTGTTGGCCACCAGGAAGAATGAATAATTAAGCATGGGCCCTCCGGCTGACTGAACATAAGGATTAACAGGCGGATGAGGTTCAAGCCGCCGCTCATTAGCCGGGCTACGGATACACAGATCCTCTACATCAGGTTGCTTGCCCGCAAGCTGAGGCCAGCGCTGGCCGTGGCACCGCGTTGTAACCAAAGCACCACCAAGCCAAAGGCGTCTTCCCTGGCCTCTGCCTAACGCGACACGTTCACGCGTTCAGTTCACCCGTTCACCCGTTCGCTCACGCGAAGTCTGGCGCACAGAAAATCAAACTCTGTGATTCTCTATGGGCCGAGCCTCCGGGTGCAGGAGCCAAAACCACTGGAGAAGCTCACCGCAGCTATCCCAGGCCTGTCTCACACTCACTCTGCTAACTTGGCTGACTCCGACTCAACTCGACTTGGCCTTCTTTGCCTCCTTGACGAGGTGCTGCCAGGAACAGTCCTCGTGAACCACAGATATCATCTTCACATCTTGAACTGACATGGTATGGCATGGCGGCAGGAAGTTTGCTACTGAAACGTGTATCAAACACTTCGCTCTTGGCCATGGTGTAAAGTGGCCAAAGGCCATCAGTAAGGCGGCAGCTACAGTTCTTTGCAACTCAGCCGGAACATGAGGCAAATACCTGTGCAAAGGTGGACAAGGCGTTGAGAATTTGCCTCTGCCTTCCGGGGCACTCCTCAAACACCTGCTTAATTTCCTTCTCGGAGACAGCAACCTGAAGCTTGACCCGTTTGCCTCCCTGAAGCTGAAAGGAGTGCTAAAGATTCCCAAAGTGAATCAAGATGTTTGTAGCAGTCATTCTGCCCAACGTATCTCTATCAAATTCCTCTTGATTTGTAGACGAGAGAAAGAGGTTGCACGAGAAATAGCTTCACTCACTTCCCTTATTTTTAGCAAAGAAAACTGTGACACGAGATTTCAAGACCTAAGCCGCAGGCCGGCACGATCTTCGGCAGCTGAGCCACTAGACGACGCCGCCTCTCACGTGCATCCCTGAACCTTTGAACTTTGAACAGCTTGGATCTGAGATCCTCACTTGGACGGACCGGGCGACGACTCCTAGCAGAGGTTCATCTCACAGGTTCACAACTTCCCAGACTTATGGGACGCCCGGAAGCCGGGGGCCATGCGGTGCACCATTTTCTGTTGTGTAGCCTGTTGCACCTGCATCCTGCCCCAGCCTACTGCGGCTTCAGCGCACAGGGTCACAGGGTGAGAGAGACTCTGCCCCCTCGTCCGAATTGGAAGACAAGGGTCTACGTGTATGGAGTGACGCATGGGTCGCGCAACATCTCCTAGCTCTTGATTATGCACTTTTGGCAATGAAGAGCGTGAACAACAATCATCACACGAGCTGCGTCGAATACTCGCTCGGTAATTAATGGGCCATCCTCGCAATCCTCTTTCCAAAGATACCAAAGAATGAAGGATACGGTATTTGACGTGCCTCATGTGACTATCCTATTCAGTATGACGCCGTCGCATCGGAACTAGGAAATACGTCTTGCCACCGACTTCTGAGTACCTGTGGATCTCGCCCTGCCAGGAAAGCAAGGGAACTCAAACGCTTTTCGCAAATCCCCAGCCTTCGAAGTCGTGAGATGCTCTTCGGTTCGGCATAGAATGCGACAGTCCGCAATGTTCATGACTCTTTCCTCGGCAGCGCAAGACTTCAGCTAGTCCAGCCCGAGAACTCAATGGCCAGCCGAAAATACACGAGCAAAGCAAGAACTATTGTTACGGAAGGTATGGGCAAGACACGCCACAGCGGTCGCTTTGCATCTCACGATACATCGGGAAAATGTGTGCATCTTTGCTTGCCGGCCAAGCTGCAGCCCAGCAAAGACCCAGCTCTCTCTGCAACTCCTACCACGAGGCCTTGCCTCCTCAAAAGAATTGCTTCCGACTCCAAACAACAAACATGGGATATCTTTGGCATGTCGTCCGAGCGCTCCCACCAAAAGCATGTCCGATGTTTGAATAAGTTGTACCATTTTCACATAGCAACAATAAGGTGCAAGGCAGGGACTCAGTTCAAAAGCAAACTGTTGAGGAAGTGTGGTTGTGCTGCTGCTAAACATACTTTAGAAGTTCAAGGACGTAGTAGAATCAATGCGTATCAGCCTGGTTCTCGAACAATCTTGCTAGAGCATCCAGCGGTTGCAAAAGGTTTTTCAGAAGTGCATATTATTTTCGAATTGCAACCTGCTCGCAATCCTAACCATGAACGGAACTGCTGCAGCTAAGCATGCACGTCGTGAAATAGAACGGAGAGACCCTTGCTAAGCCAAAAACATGTTGGGCCGATCAAACAAAGCCCCCTCAGACGTCAGCACCGCAACGGCATCTCAACAGGCTCTCACACAGGTCTGCAAAAGTCTCCGAGAGGGAAGCAAAAGAAAGCTCAGCCTCGAACGAGACAGGCTGAAGGGATGTTGCTCGAACTTTCTGACCGTTTGATGAGTTTCGAAGGGCGATACCCTCTGAGCTTTGTTCCTGCCTTGAAGCAGGCAGTGCTGATCTGCACGCCTGGCGCAAGGGACAAGCTGTGAGTCCAGTGCCAGGTAAGACTCCTATCAATCGCATTCCTTGTCAATCCGAACATTCCTTGTCAATCCTTGCTCGGGGTTGATGACCATGATCAATCCCAAGTAACCGGGGGCTACAGCGGAATTGCGATCAGCAAGCGTGCCAGGCAAACGGCCGGGCTCTGATGTGCCTTCCACAATATCGAGGCAAGAGCACAATGGGCCTCAGCAACCGCCAAGTTTTCCAAAAATCAGCCGACGCCAGTCGAGCGTGTAGATGGCAGTCTGCAACTTGGTCTTCTTTCGGATCTTTTATCAAAGCCGAAGGCTTTTGGGGCTGCCATTTTTTGGGCATGGTGTGTGGGTGTCCAAAACCCTGTAATTTTCCTGTATTTTTGGGTCTCTAGAGGGGGGGGGTGTGAGGCCCACTGCCGCGGTGCCTATCCCAGAAGGGAACTGGTACCCTGTGGTAGTAGAGGTCGTTTATTCGGTCCCTGGATCTATTCCGGAGAGAGTCCAATATGCCAATATGGATGATTGGAGGATGGATTGTCCCTGATGGCTTGGATTGACTGTTATGCCTGCAAAGCGGTCTGCAAGCCTTTTATCAATGTGCCATGCGTCGAATGACTGTACGATTGAAATAGAAGGGCCTTGAGCCAAACGTTGCAGGAGATCAAGTGTTCAACAAACCAAACACAAAACAGACACAAATTTCTTTTGGTCTCCAGCACTAGATATGAAATATCTTTGGCTTCATGGCTTTTGGCCGTAGCCTTGATTTATGCCGTAGCCATGTGTGTTGAAATACTGGATTCATCCTGTTTTCTGCGCGGATGAAATGTCTTGATTTGCAAAATGGAAGACAGTCTGTACTGATTCTGTGAGATACCTAGATGTATCTAAAAGATGATGTACAACGCTATGTACATGCGGGACGGATGTGAAACTATTGATCTCTCACTGAATAGTCTTGTTGGCGGTGAGGATCAATTCGGTTGAAATTCGTAGTGCCGATTTCGGGTGTTCTCTCAGTCGAGCTTCAGCAAAACTTCTTTCCTTGGCGGATCACTCAGACCCTAGGAGGTCGGATGGATGCCAAAGGTGGCAGCTTCATCAGATAGTCATGACTAGGTCAAGTCGCCGTAGTCTTTCCACTGCTTGGGAGAGCCCCAGTACTGCCTGTTGTATTCCTTGTACTCTTGCTGAGTCCAGGATTGCTTCTTCTTGAGGTGCTCCTTGGATCGCTCAACCTTGAGAGCCATTCATGAACATCTCGTTGTCGAAAATGGCAGACGTAGGATCGTTCCGCATGGTTTCCAGTTGATCATCTTTCATTGCGTTCATCTCTTCCTTCCGGAAAACCTGCTGAATATTTGTTTGCCCCGTCCAAATACGAAAGTCATCATAACATCTGGGATTGTTCGATCATACCCGGATCCAGTCTTCATGTATAGGTGATGACGGACGATGGATTTCAGGGTGCAGGAAGTCTCCATTTTCCATTCTGTCCACGAGTGGCAAGTTCTCCGTTTCATTCCACAATCTCTGATATGCCTTCATGAGGATAGTCATGAGACCGTTGGCCGGATTGAAAACGTGTTGCAGTTTGAGGTAGGTGTTCGCGGACTTGTTGGCGTCTCCGGTGATCGCATCGCGTTGGCACAATGCCACGAGCGGCATGATTTCGTTCTGAAAATCGCCCCGTGCTGCTCCATGGCTGATTGATGGATGGATGTGAACAACTCCAACGGTAGCAAACGGGAGGTCTGCCCTCGTTACATGGCGGCTGTCGAATTCGAGGAGTGAGTCATTGGATGACTTTGGAAACACACCACGCAATCCATCACTCTGCTCGATGCAGATGACGAGAATTTCCTTGTTACGCCCGTGTCCTTGGACAGTTGTGCGTTCAATGTACTTCTTGGATTCCATGAACATGGATGTTCCTGTGGTTGCCAGGCAGTCAGAGATTGGGATGTCGTATTCGGCATCAGTGCAGTTGTTCTCGGTTCCGAAGAAGCCTCTGAACATACCGAATGTAGTTCCCCAATTCTGACTCCTTGTGGAAGGTCCGCCGCGGACAAAGCATGCGATTGGTCTGGATGACCATTGCTTGATAACTATGCCCTTGTATCCAAACCGGACGAGCGTCTTGATGAGTTCCTTGGATTTCTCGTCTTGAGGACTGAGGAATGCGTCTGCTTCATTTAGGCAGATGATGCGCGCGCTGTTATGCATCATCATTTTCACGATTGGCCGATCCTTCATCGCCATGTTATTCACCTCCTTGCTGTCCAGCTTTGGATTCCTCGTAAGGTTTCCGCGTTCATGGTGAGCATATTGATCGTCAGGGATGAGGTGAACTCATGTGCCTTGAGATGGTCCACAGGGGAACGGTCAGTTGGCTGCATCAGCGATCCCAGGATATCAGCAAATGCTTGCATGACTTCTGGTTTGTCATATGCTCTGAGCTTCTTCAATCCAATTGGAAGCTTGATCGGATATCCTGATACTGGCTGCGCCTTCCCGAACTCTTCCATGGTTGGCAATTCTCCTCGATGGGGGAAATAGAATTCTTCTTCATCGAGCCAATGAGGCTCGCTCGCATTCTGTCAATTTGGGATGAGCTCTCTTTGGATCCTTGTTGTACTTCTCCATGAAGCGGATGAAGTTCCTTTTGGTCTCCTCGAGCTCTTCCGGCGTCCTTCTTGTTCATGTCTATTTCAAGGTATATCTCCTTGAATTCCTTGATGGGGAGAGAGGGTTCCATGTTCTCCTCATCATTTTCGTCCTGATCGGTGGAGCGCCGTCGCTTCTTGGTCTCTGTGGATGTATCTTTCTCGGATTTTTCCTTGTTTTGTGGTCGGTATTCACAGAATTGAAGAAGGCATTGGCGAATTCCTGGATCTTGCTGGTGTACATCCCAACGTCTTCACGACCGAGATTCTTCTTCATGATCCAGTTGTTGCTCATGATGATGTTCCCATCAGTATCAAATGCTGCAACAATATTCTTCGCCTCGACGGTTTGTTCTGTCAATGCTGTTCGCTCTTCGGAGAGTCGGATGCCGTGTCCTGGTCCTTGAGGAATGCAAGGATCAACAATGCATCTCTTCCTGTTGGCACATGTGTCAGACCTGCTTCTGACGCGTCGCCGTCGAGGATAACGTCGTCGATGCATGCCATGTGGATGTGCGCTCGCCCCGAAGGGTTTGACATTTCCCAGATTTGATCCCGTTCTCCATGATGCTGATCAGCAGCTCTCCATATGTTGCATGGAACATGAACGTGAGCGAACAGCTTGATCTTTCTCTCTTCTTCAATGGATGGTGGTGCCGGCCTTCGCATTCTGTATTTTGCCTGAGCTGTGCCTTCATCTTCATGGAGCGCGTCGGATCTTGAAGGATGCGGACTTGCAGGAATGGATTCTGTTGGAAGATCGTAGTCCGGTTCTTCTCGGCGAGGTTCACTCTTCTGTCCAGAGTAAAGGGGGCGTCCAAAGGATTGGAGGTCGACTTGTCGAGTATGA